CAAAAAAGTAGGCTCTTTCTATGCTTCTTTTGACAATGAAGATCCATTTGTTAATGTTCCAGAGAAGAACAATAATTGCAATGAAATTGAGTTTGAGTGGGACAGTGACTCCCAGCAGGGCAGCGAGTCACAGGAGGACAGCGAGTCCAATGGGGGTGAAATGGGTAGTAACATACCCTTATGTACATACCACACTTATCCACTAGTTAAGACGGGAATGTATTTGCATACAGCAAATGACCAAAACACTCAACCATTTAGAGAAAATGCGCCGGGCAGAGAGAACTGAAGGCAAGTGTTCCCCATAAGCAACGCAAAATTCAGTCGCTCCCCGCCCCATGGATGGAATTTTGGGAGAGCAGAACGCCCGAATTGAGACAGTCTGATAAAAGTTCTGTGATGCAGAATTTTCCTTTGAATTTCTTCCACAGTATCTCTGTTTCGTCGATGAATGCGATGGTAAAACGTGGTTCTAAACAGAGTCGCTTGGCGATGCAGAACCCTGGTCTCGATCCCGGGCTAAGTTGCTTTTTGTATTTATTGCATGTTATACACACGTACCTGCCATGATATGATTGCCTCTAAAAAACGGTAAAACAGATGAAGGTGCAAGACGTTTTTTTTGCAGATTATACTTTAATTTGTATCAATAATCAGCTAAGACCACCATGTACCCCAATTAAAATAATGTTAGTCCTCTTGTTGATGTGGAACTTTTACCATGTTAAGTCTAAAAAATAGGAAATAAATAAAATTAGAAAGGCCTCGGACAAACCCTGATGTTGATACGCTTAGAAATACGTTCCAACAGCCCTTGCTTCCCACTCCTAATATTGACTCAAATTGCTTTATTTATGTTGCATTAAACTAATGTATAATTTACATGTGCTTTATATTATTTTATTGACTGTGACTGCCATTCCCACTTTTTTGCCAGATTTTTTAACATATTGTTCCTTTAAGTCATCTTTTTTTTGAGAACAATCACTGCATGAAAATGTTGATTTTGACTCTTTTCTGCCCCTGTATATTAATTACTGTTGAAACTTCTGGATTCTGCTGTTGTAACGGTAGTTTGTGGTGTCCCCTCCTCCCTAACCTCCACAAGAGGCTTTAACATGTAAATTGCAATGCTGTGAGCTATACAATCACACACACACACACACACACACACATACACGTTTTTGTTACCTGGTGGGTCCCTTTGACAGGGCCGTTCAGAATGGGACCCATAGACATAATCTTTTTTTACCAAGACTTTAAGTAATACAAAACATCAATAGAAACCAAACAACTATTTTAAAGGAATTTTATTTTAGATTTTGTTTTCGAATTGCAGTGATTCTATTTTTGACATAGAATTTAATGCCACTCCATGTCCGATGTCTAAGGTCATCTGGTGAGGCATTAATGCAGGCCAGGCAGTGAGACTTCCCAGGGACCTTTCCAGTCTGTATGAAAGGTGTCATGGTCTTCTCCACAGCCTTCACCTCAGATGCAGACCATGGCTTTCTTACACGTTCTAGGGAGAGAAATAAAAATATATTAGCAATATACACTCCCAGGGTGAGGACCAAGCAGCCTGGCTGTAATCCCCCACCTGGTACACTTACCAGAAGGGGCACTGCCACTACCATGGGGTGCATCTGGATGAATGGTTGAAGGTTCTCCGCTTGAAGTTTCTTTTAGCCCGTCCGTTTGTGAGAGGATCTCTACTGCTCTCCCTGTCGCACAGAAAATAAAAATACAAGTGGCCTTTAGGGGAAAAAAATCATACATATTTTAATAATATCAAGAATTACCTTCAGGCTCAATTTGTATCTGGTCGAGGCTCTTTCCTTCGAATTCCGTCACTCTTCCCTGCTCCATGGCCATCAACACTTTGCTGATTTTGGCCAGCTCCAGTGTCCCCTCTGGTAGTCTGTAATATTGCCTGTGGATGCGAATGTCATGGCCGAGGAAGTTGGCAAGTATGTCCATCTCATTCTCTTTCATATTGAGAACTGTAGACATAGTAGCTATGTGCTTTCTAAGTTTGGTTGAGGATAGCATCTCTGGATGCACCGCACCACATTCTTTGGCTACCTGGCGTAGGGAGTCTGATCCCCTGATGTGGGTGTCTGCGCCCGGGCGGGAAAAGAAGTATGGGTTATGGTCAGAGATGGAACAGGCCCTTCTGTTCTCCACCAGCACCTCCATCGAAGCAATCATTTCAGGAGTCAAAAGAACCGGCACTTTCCGACTTCTTTTCCCTTTAATTTCAATGCGTTGAAAATGCTGACACAGCTTTTTCTCAAGTTGGGACAGTCCCAGAGCAATGTCAGAATGGATCCCAGTCTTACTTCTTAAGGTAAAGGCTGTCAGTGGCATCTTTGAAACCTCACCTTCCCTTCTTCGATTGAAAATGATGACCTCACAAAGAGTCAAAACTGCCAGTTTAGACCAATGCTTAGACGTTGGCTCACTTATTAGGGTTTGCACATATTCAGGTCGACATACCTCAATATGTGCATGCATGGCTCTAACGTCCTCAGTCAGAGGGAGCAGGTCCGGAGTGTTCCACTTGGCTTGCCGGAGGGTCTGTAGGGCAGCAGAAGAAACACAGACGTCCCACCTCTTCTCAAAAAGCAGCCGGCTTCGTTGGAGGTTTTTAATAAATAGTTCATCAACACAATGCTCCATTTTTGAGTCACATTCAAGAATATCTGCTAGCTTTCTGAGGCTATGGCCGAGTTTGAGGGCCAAGGATGGAGTCTTGTATTGATTTGTTTCCTCATCATATCCAGCCACAGACCTGACTGCATCAATCACATGGTTAAAGTTGGAAGGAATAAAGAAATCCTTAATTGTTTTCAGTTTCCCTGCGGTTTTTGCTTCGTTAATTAACCTACCGACTTCTCTCATTTTCTGCCTAATGTAATCATGCTTTGTCTTATCATGCCCGTGTTTTAAGTACAGGTGCTCTCCGAGTCTCAGAATCCCCTTTTCTGCTTTGACAACACCCGTGACCTCATCCTGATGCATTGCCGAAATTAAAGACCACAGCTTTTTGCTGATGCCCTCCGGTACAGGCTGGGCTAGGGAGCAGAGGGACTGGACCCTACTTCTACCTGGTTTAGCCTGGGCATCTTTCTGTGAAAGCCGGCACCTGGCCACATGCCTCCACAGCGACTTTCGCTTAAGCAATGCCCCACAGTCTATACAGTGCAAAAACTCACTGGATTTAACTGGGGAATTTGGCTGTTTAGCTGGGACTAAAGTTCCAATGCCGGCCTTTAAAACCTCAAAATTGTGCTCACGGTTTCCACTATTCCTGATCAAATCAAACTGAAGTTTACGTGCTTTAGATTTCACAGGTAGAGCCAATGCTCTGGCTACGTCACTTTCATTTCCATGTTTTCTAGTCAAATGACGGGACATTTTGTGGCAGGACATTGAACAGTAGAGGCAGAAGTGTCTCTTGCTGTATACTCGCCCCCCATTTTTCTTCTTTTGCAGCTGCATGATAACAATCTTATTTGCCTTTGGTTCGTCACTTTCCGAGTCTTGAAGAAAAGTGTTTTTGATTTTTCTTTTTCCATACTTTTTTACAGGTTTCTTCTTGACAGTTAAATCGTCAGAATCTGAGTCGACTTCATCAATTAGGGACTCTTGACTAAGCTGCACAAACAACAAATAATTTGTAATCATTCTATATAACAATTTGAAGTCATGACTTGTAGTCAGCACTTACCAGTGGTTTGTAAGCGTGCGCTTCAGTGTGCTCCTCCATGATTTCTTGCAGCCTAATGAACCACACACTTGCACCTTTTTCTAGCCTGACACCTGATTTCCTCTGTTGTGCTGCTCCATGATTGGCTCCAGCCTGCTGGACTGAAATTGCCCCAGTGTGCCCCTCCTTGATATCCCGCAACCCACCACCAGGGTTCCGACACATAACACACTTTTTTCAGGAAAGTAAACCTCCAGGGGTCCTTTCCATATTTTTACAGAGACTGCATAAGGACCGTTAGAAAAGCATTACCCATTGATTATTAAGCTTGGACCAGTGGGGTCCGGTGTTCGGGCCCCACCACGTAAAACCAGTCCCCATGACGTGAGTGGAATCTCAGGTTATGGAACCCACCAGGAGTTGAAAACAAGTGCACACACACATACACACACACACACATACAGTATGTGACCGTACGGCGCTTTGAACAATGGCTTTTCAATTTTTTTCCCCATTTCATGTCAGTATTAAAAAAAACATGTCAAAATGATTCTTTCAAATATAACATATGCAGTATATTAAAGCAGTACGAGGAGGAAAAAGAGTACAGAACAAGTGATGGAAGTGGGACGTGTGTGTGTTAGCCTGTGTGTGTGTGCGTGTGTGTGTGTGTGTGTGTGTGTGTGTGTGTGTCCGTGTGTGTTTGTCACTGTGTGCTTGTGTGCTAGCCTGTGTGTGTGTGTATTTGTTTATAGCGTGTGTGTGTGTGTATTTGTGTGCTAGCCTGTGTGTGCTTGTGTGCTAGCCTGTGTGTGTGTGGATTTGTTTATAGCGTGTGTGTGTGTATTTGTGCGCTGTAAAAGTGAGGCCTTGGAACCAAACAAACATCTGCTTCATTTAACCTCTTTTCAAACAGTGCATTACAGATTATATAATTATTTGTATCCTGTTGATTGATATTGTTTGAATGAAAAACTATTGTATTCTTACAACAGCTCAGAATCGTTAATACAAAAAATAACTAATTAATCCCAAACCACGTTTTAAAGGGACCATATGTAAGCATACACACTTAGCCACAATCCAGTCCTACTACTACAATGTAAAGTCATTTTCATCAAACCATAGAAAAAGCCACAAACATACAAGCATTCTGCGATCTTGCAACTAGCTGCATTGAAACAGAGCAAAGGATCATGGTCAATGTAGTTCTGCCACATCCCTCTCTTTAAGGCGGGTCCAGGAGAGCAGTTATGTTTTGCACAGTAATAACATGAAAAGCCCTTACCCTGTGAGGACCACCACAAAGTCCATCACGTTCCATCCGTTTCTCAGGTATGAGTTCTTGTGGAAGGCAAAACCAAGGGCCAGGATCTTGATTCCAGATTCGAAACAGAAGATCCCAATGAAATACGGCTCAGTATCGTCCTAAAAGACACAAGACACAAAACAAAAGCCACGCAATTAAACAGCGGAAACAGAACCAGGGTGATTGATCCAAACCAAGATCCACTGATTACAAATATATGTATAGTTGTGTATTTCTTTACAAAATGTGTGTGGTGTGATCCTAATTTAAAAGTAACTATGAAGTATCTTTGTTCGAATCATTTAAAGGTGTAAATAAACGTTCATTGAATCAGACATTTCAATCCAAACCATGTATAATGCACATTTTATAAAACTATTGATCTATAAAGTGCTGCAGAGAGATAAAAGCAACACATTTTAATACAGGTTTGCCAGATGTATATGTGTGAAATAATAAATAAATAGAAAAAGTAAAACATTATGTACGCAGTAAAAACAATTAAAAGGTGATACATATTTTTACTTTACTTTTGAATGCGCAGGAAACGGCTGCAAGTCCGAAGTGTCTCTGAAACAGCTGTTGTTTTGTGTTTTACAATTGTCATTTTTCTTGCTTTTTTCTGCCTGAGATGTTGCTGCAGTTCAGTGTTCATGGTTTAGCACTGGTCCAGACCAGAGCAGAGAGGATTCATGGTCCGAACCAAGTGGGTCAGGTGAAAATCCACTGGAGGAATGCTAACTTTTAGAAAAATGCTAATTAAGCAGTGTGTGTGTGAGTGTGTGTTCGTGTGTGCTTGTATGTGTGTGTGTGTGTGAGTGTGTGTTCGTGTGTGCTTGTATGTGTGTGTGTGTGTGTGTATGTGTGTGTGTGTGTCTGTGTGTCTGTGTGTGTGGGTGTGTGTGTGTCTGTGTGTCTGTGTGTGTGTGTGTGTGTGTGTGTGTGTGTGTGTGTGTGTGTGTGTGTGTGTGTGTGTGTGTGTGTGTGTGTGTGTGTGTGTGTGTGTGTCTGTGTGTGTGTATCTCACCAGGCGCTCTGACAGTGGCGTCTTGTCTCCATCGGGCAGATGCTGTTCGAGGGCCAGGACGATGCAGTTGGCGATGATGGTGGCGAGGATCATCCACTCAAATGGAGTAAGGAAGTGGGTCAAGGAACGTCGTGAAACATTCAGAAAACACATCATTTAAAAGTAACTAAGTAAGTGATCTTTATTTTTATAGCACATTTTTACAGACCAACTTCTGCCAAAGCACTTTACAATGTTCAGAGTTTGTTCCAATCACTCCACACGGTGATGAAGCGAGACCCGAACACACTGGACCATCAAAGCCCCCAATCAACACCATTCAATCCCTCACTCATTACATTCAGACCTATTGTGCATGTTTTTAGGGGTAGGGTAAACCAGAGCCCCTGGAGGAAACCTACACAGACATGGGGAGAACATGCGAACTCCACTCAGAAAGACCCTGTTCCGACCGGGATTCGAACCCAGGACCTTCTTGCTGAGAAGCGAGAGTGCTAACTACTCAGCCACAACTTTGTGTGCTCAAGACATTTACATTGAACACATCCAATCAAATCTGAGCTGGAAGACTTTAACTCCTGTCACCTGTCAATCACTGTCATGCACATTTTTATATTTGTGTTTCACCAGTCATTTACTGAGACCCATATCAGACAAAACTGATGTTTGACATTTTAACCACATTGCAAATGTAAAGCTCATTCTGATCTGAAAGTGTATTGAGCTTCAGCTCTGCAGAGATGCTGAGCTCCAACTTATGTCATGTGACATCACAGGGAAAGGAGCAGAGATCCACTAGATTCAGTTGTGTTGACTTCACCTCTGTGCAAGACATGTGTATGGTCCACATCCACATGTTTACGGTGGACTGTAAAAAAAAAATACAGTATACATGTATATAGTTTAAATACAGCTGTATGTTCGTGTTAGTGGACAAGCTGTGACTTTTATCTTATCTTTCATGGTTCACTCCCACTGCTGCCAAATGAAAGCTTTGCTCACACCAACTCTCGAGTATGAAGTGTTGGTGTGAAGTCAAAAAGTAAAATCAATAATGTCTCCGGTTGAGCAGATTTTAGTTACTCTAGTTTACACTGAGAATGTGTCCCTTATACACAGTGTAACTCATGATAAACATGTGCTCCATGTGCTGCTGCTGCTGCTGCTGCTGCTGCTGTTACTACTGCTACTGCTGCTGCTGCTGCTGCTGCTGCTGCTGCTGCTGCTGTTACTACTGCTACTGCTGCTGCTGCTACTGCTGCTGCTGCTGCTGCTGCTACTGCTGCTGCTGCTGCTGCTGCTGCTGTTACTACTGCTGCTGCTGCTGCTGCTGCTGCTGCTGCTACTGCTGCTGCTGCTGCTGCTGCTGCTGCTGCTACTACTGCTACTGCTGCTGCTGCTGCTGCTGCTGCTGCTGCTACTGCTGCTGCTGCTGCTGTTACTACTGCTACTGCTGCTGCTGCTGCTGCTGTTACTACTGCTACTGCTGCTGCTGCTACTGCTGCTGCTGCTGCTGCTGCTGCTGCTACTGCTGTTACTGCTGCTGTTACTGCTGCTGCTACTGCTGTTACTACTGCTGCTGCTGTTACTGCTGCTGCTGCTGCTGCTGCTACTGCTGTTACTGCTGCTGTTACTGCTGCTGCTACTGCTGTTACTACTGCTGCTGCTGTTACTGCTGCTGCTGCTGTTACTGCTGCTGCTGCTGCTGCTGCTGCTGCTGCTGCTGCTGCTGCTGCTGCTACTGCTGTTACTGCTGCTGTTACTGCTGCTGCTGCTGTTACTGCTGCTGCTGCTGCTGCTGCTGCTGCTGCTGCTGCTGCTACTGCTGCTGCTACTGCTGCTGCTGCTGCTGTTACTGCTGCTGCTGCTGTTACTGCTGCTGCTGCTGTTACTGCTGTTACTGCTGCTGCTGCTGCTGCTGTTACTGCTGCTGCTGCTGTTACTGCTGCTGCTGCTGCTGTCTGGCTGCGTGATGTCAATCGTAACATGTGCTATTGTCAACTCACATAAACACACTCCTCTTTCCTCTGTGTCCCTGATATGTTGTACACAGCCCTGAGGAAGCCCCTGTGCTCACGTTGGCGTCCCACTCAATAAAGCATTTTCATTTTGTCATTAGATCTTTCAGACACAATACATCGCAAAACAACAACCTCCAGTCTCTCTGATCTACAGCGTAGGGATGAACAATAAATCACAAAGGTTATTTTTGTGGCAATAAAAGCGAGAGCTATGAACATATTGCAATGATCTGTGACGTGAGATATTGATAAGTGAAAATCATTCACAAAAAGTTTTGTTTTTACTTTGACCAAACCTTAAATGCGCAGCCCCAAAAAGTCCAGCGGCGTCATTGGCCAGAGCGAGTTCACAAACACAGATGAATCCAGATGAAGAAAGTGAAAGTGAAACTGTTAAACTGTTATGACTGAAATTACACTGAATTTAGCTTCTTCAAAGAAAGTTGATTCAAGGTTCATTTTTACACCATTTGTTTCAGATAAACATCATTCATTTGGATAAAAGGAAATATTTAAATAAATATCTCACTTATTTCCAAGATTGTGCAGCTCTAGAGCAAACATGCATCTCTAAAACAGATTTACATGTCTGTGTGAAATCCATCACAACCCACTACGGTCCTGATTCATTTATACACCTTCACTTTTGTTTCTAATTTTGTCACTGCATTTTTCCAAAGGATAATCTTCACTCGTACTCCATAAAAATAAGTGAAATAAAGAAATAAAAAAGAATTGGCAGGTAGCAAAGCTGCACTCACTTAGAATGAATTGCTAATACCTTAAAATGTAAAGCGATTTATTAGAACACTTTTAGATTTTTTTATCAATTTAACATTTTGGGTGAAAACAGTTTTATTAAACACAGCATTTAACATTCCCAATCCGAACTTAGCTCCTCCCACACAGAACCATCAGTCTTCCGCCTCCATCAGTGTCTACACCTCAATCAATAAACTATTTATTTGTCATTTCTGTGCATAAAAACCCCCAAATACAATCCATTGCATTTCCTGCAGACGACAAAAGATCTTCTTTTCTATTATTTTACCAGAATTAACCCCAAAACCAGGGACACATCCGACAAGATCCTTTTCCGGTGATAGAAACCCAGAGACCCAAGTAAGATTGAACGTGCCACCGCGACCTCTTCAAAGTACTTTAGCGTAAATTAGCCACAGAGAAACATAGCCGCGAGCTAATAGGAACACAAAGGAGGGGCGCCAGTATATCTTATTGTATATCTAATTGCAGAAGACGCACACACACTCGGCGGGCCGCTCACTGGCTTCATAAATCAATGAGCCTGTCTCTTTAAGGTCAAAAGATAAATAGTTACATTAGAGGAGAGAGTAGGATAGAGAAGAGGAGGGGGGGTCTGTACCGGAGATGAATGAGGGATGGCAGAAGGAGGTATGGAAAAGGCAGGAACCGACAAGGGCAAAGCATGAACATGTGACTAAGCAAAATGTCGCCGCTGAATCTTTAACCCTTTAAAGAGTGACATCTTTAGAGCAGAGCGGGAATGTAAGACGGAGCAGGCAAAATGTACGAAACTTCAGAAATGATCGATTTTTGTGGATGTTTTCTCAGGGGTCTCCAACCTTTTCCCTCGGAGAGCTACTTTGTTTGGGACAACGCTGGCAGAGAGCTACTCCTTTTATAGAGTGTTGTGCTACAATAGATCAATTAGATTAGTTTTTATCTTGATTTGAGAACATTTGGACATTCGTAAAACAATGGGACAACCAGCTTTAGTCTCATTTCCAGCATAGATATAGCAAATATATTAGATAGATAGATACTTTATGGATCCGCCGTAAGAGAAATTCAGGTGTCTAGCCGCTCATCCAGGTCTGTCGTACAGTCTGACAGCCGAAGGATCTCTTAAAACATTCCGTTCGGCAGCACAGTGATATAAGCCTGTTACGTGTTTTATTGGCAAATCTTATTTTTGACATTTTTTTGTTGTGTAGTGTTATACCCTGAATATAACCATTATCATTCATATATTTACTCAAAAATTATCCTTTGGGGAGCTTCTTGGAGACCCGTGCTCAATCCCATTCAATCGTCAAAGGTCTGTGCGGAGGCTGAGTTTGACCACTGAGCCCCAACCACCTTCTCCAAAGGGTGAGCAGCGGCTGTACTGAAGTCAAGGGCCTATGAATTATGGGTAAAAAAAGCAACTTTGCGACATGACTAACCCATTAGCTCTCCCATGTGTTCCAGTGGTAGACCCGTCCTATGCAATATGATCATTTTTTTCTTAAAGTTGACTGTAAAATGTCACAGTTTTTGCAATATCTGAAAAATAACGACGGTATTTTATTTTTAGCATTAGCATTAAATGTATTTGGTTTTGCTAATTGTGTTACTTGCCTCGTACAGGGACAGGCTAATGAGGACACGCGGGGACAAGGCCATACGGACAAATGTCTCCTGCATACATATATATTTAGATTTACTGGCCCATTTATCTGTAACGGCATTTCAAGGTGACGCCGGGGGTGACATTCGCCATCACTGCTCATGATTTCAGGCTGTTATTTGTTTTGTGTTAAGCTTTTATTGGTACCAGTTTTTCTGAACGATGTCACACAGGGGCAGTCAGCACCGTACTGGATTTTAGGACTTTTCCATTGGTTTTCAGACATAAGGGAGAGAAGAAAATAAAAAAAAAAGATGATATTGGATAGGACGGGTCTGCGACTAGAACACGAGAGAGTTCATGGGTTAGTTGGGTTTTTTCCATAGACTGTATATATTAACGGACGTAGTCACACCTATCTCTGCCGTTCTAACTAATAGGCCAAAAATTGGGCTTTCATGGACTGATTCAAAATGAAAAAACGCATCTGCACATGCGTCATTCGGCACGAGCTCCATTAATTTAAACGAGTGACTTCGAAAATTCCCCCCCCTCAGCATTGACACACATGTGGAACGGAGCTTTGGGCCAAGAGCCAACTTTTGGTCCATCCTGTAAAGACGTTTTTGAGAGGTCTGCCAACGCTATATGTTAGCATTGGCTAATTCTTCTTCTGGGTCCACCCCCATTGGCCCGGGGTG